TCTGCAACATAATCTCCCTGCTTTTAAACTCAATCCCTCTAGCAATGAAGGACAAAATTCCGTTTGCCCCCTTAATTACCTGTTGCACCTGCAAACCAACCTTCTGCGATTCATGCACAAGGACACCCAGGTCGCTCTGAACAGCAGCATGCTGCAATTTTTTATTGTTCAAATAATAGTCCTTTTTACTGTTATTCCTACCAAAATAGATGACTTCACATTTATCAACATTGTACTCCATCTGCCAGACCTTTGCCCACTCACTTAAACTATCTACATCCCTCTGCACACTTTGAGAGCCCTCTGCACACTTTGCTCTACCACTCACCTTAGTGTCATCCGTAAACCTTGACACACTACACGTGGTCCCCAACTCCAAATCACTAATGTGAATTATAAACAATTGTGGTCCCAACACTGATCCCTGAGGCACACCACTAGTCACTGATCGCCAACCAGAAAAGCACTCATTTATCCCCACTCTTTGCTTCCTGTTGGTTAACCAATCGTCTATCCATGCTAATACATTACCCATAACACTGTGCACCTTTATCTTTTGCTGCAGCCTTTTGTGCAGCACCTTGTCGATGCCTTTTGGAAATCTAGAATCACCACATCTCCTGGGTCCCTGTTGCCGCCACGCTCGTAATGTCTTCATGGAATTCCAGTAAATTAGTTAAACATGACCTGCCCTTCATGAACCCATGCTGTGTCTGGCCAATGGGACAATTTCTATCCAGATGTCTTGCTATTATCTCAGAGAGCAAACCAGGAAGTAAAGAAAAACACTGAATTCCTTTACTTTTAAGTGTTACATTGTACTGGTCGGCAAAATAAATGATTGTGTCATGCACATGATATTAAAATACAAAGTAAAATAAGATTTTAAGAAACATTTAAAAGATGTTTCTTAGGGTGGCACGGTGGCTCAGAGCATCAGGGTCCCGGGTTCGATTCCAGCAACGGACAACTGTCTGCGTGGAGTTTGCACGTTCTCCCCGTGTCTGCATGAATTTCTACCGGGTGCTCCTGTTTTCTCCCATAGTCCAAAGATGTACAAGTTAGGTGGATTGGCTGTGCTAAATTACCCATAGTATCCAGGGATGTGTGGGTTGGGCTGAATGGATGTGTGGGGATTTTATGTAGATTTTCTTAATAATTAAGTTTTTGACAACAAATATACAGTTGCTCTTTCAGGGATAGTGAAGCTGCTTAGCAATAATTATGAACTTAGAATTCCATAAAACGCAAGTTATACCTCATTCAGCAAAGTGTAAATGTTTTGTAAAAAGACTTTGAGTCAGGCTAAGAGGGTAAAATGGCAGGTTTGTCACTTTGGTAATTGCTAACTAATTACTGTCTGGGTGATTTTCAACAGTGCACTCTCTGGAAAAGTGCAGAATCACTGATGACACCTTCTGGATTCCCACTTTTAAATACAAATGTCTAACTTCAGAAATTCTGGTTTACGGTCTTCAACCTGAAACACTGACTCTGTTTCTTTCTCCATAGATTCTGCTAGACCTGCTGAGTACTTCCAACATTTTCTGTCATTATTTCGGATATGTAGCATCCATAGTATTTGCTTTTGTGCCAGACATCCCTGTCAGTTACAGATGAATAACAATGGTGAATGCCAACAGCTTCACTATCAATACTATTGTAAAATCCAGGCTACATTCTTAACTGTACACCATGACCAAATATATTTCAAAAAGTTAGAAGTATTATTCTTCCAGTTTTTTCAGAAGCTATCTTTAAACAAATCTTTTTTTTCCTCTCTTGTTTTATGGCGGGTGGACATCATTGACAAGGCCAGCAGGTGTTACGCATCTCTGACTGCCCTTGATACACTATTTCAGAGGGCAGTTAAGAGTGAACCATATTGCTGTGGATCTGGAGTCACATCTGGGCCAGACCAAATGGGGAATGGCAGATTTCCTTCCCTAAAAGAACATTAGTGAATCAGATGGGTGTTTGCAAAAATTGATGGTAGTTGTCATGGTCACCTTTACTGAGACTAGCTTTATGTTCTAGTGTTTTCAGTTGAATTTAGTTTCCTTTGATTATTGTAATGGTATTGGATCTCATGTCCCCTGATCACTAGCCTGAGCCTTTGAATGTCTACTCCAGTGCATTACACCACTGTCTCCACTCATGTTGCGGCTAGCACTAGAATAGAGGCTTCTGGACTCCAGAATTAGAAGTAATCTGCTTTCAGCAGAAGAGTGAAGAAAGGGCAAAAAGTAATAAAACTGAAAAATGTTACATGTTTACAGTTGAGGAATTATTTATTTTTATTTAGTCGGTAGTCTTGATTTCAATTCAAAAAGTGAAAGAAAATGCAAATAAGCTCTACCTGCATCATTTTGCAGTTGACCCAGTGCTCTCAATTCAGTTTTTAGAATCAAGGCAAATCATCTTTGTGAATCCCATTACCTGTGCTGTACCATTTCGAATATGGTTCAAAATACCCTGGAAGGATTAACGTTGTTGCAAGTCTCTAATTTAAATAACAATTTAATCAGACTGTAAATAAGGATTAAAATTGGTTTCCATGCAACAGCAGTCAGCTTTTTGGATCAGATTTTCTTAAAATATCTTTTTTATTAGGAGAATGTTAGGTGTTAAGAAGTGATAAGTAACTTTAACACTTCCATTACATGGGTTAGTTTTCTTGAACCAGTCTAATTTAACCCCTTTTCATAGATAGCAATTGTAATGCACACGAAAATTTTGAGATGCATTCACATATTATAGTTCATAATTTTGAATATTAGTAATTGTCTTTGTTAGTTTCCCATCAAGAGGGAAATCTGCATTACACTCAACGGTCAGAAAATTTTCAAGTTATTTTAAAATCAATCATGGCATAACGAATGCTTTAAAAGATAGACATTATAGAAAATTGATCTTCCTTTGATTTGAGCTTTTCCAATGCAACCTGAATTCAAATATCTTCTGCTCTACTGGATAAATTTGATATGGGACTCCTCATTAAAATGTACATATTTACTGTGTAGTGAAATATTAATGCACCTTGGAGTATAAAATGACTATCCAACACATTGAAAATAATAAATAAGGATATGTGAATAAAGACATGTAATGTGATGCCATCCATTAATTCTTCTTTTCCATGGAAAAACGTTTTACATGGAATGTTGCAAGTGTGAGCTGATAATGGTGGAAACAGCATGTGGAACTAAAGGGAACATGGAAAGCCACTGTGTACCTCCTTAACCAGTCAGATAATAGAATTAAGAAAGAAACAATGTAAGGACTGAAATGATGTTTTAACTAAAGTAGGTGAATTTAAATATGATTCAGAAACAAAAAAATAGAGAGGTGAAAATGTAAGACTGGCTGAGGAGAGAAAACAAAAGGATGGGAAAGTTTTTTTTTAAAATCAAAAATTTATACTTTTTGTCTCTTAACAATTAAACCTTAAAGAATGAGAATTCACACTTGTAATAGTTAATTTTTCAGGGCCATAGAGGTTTATTGACAGTAATTAAGGCTGACAGTGTCATTTAAATGACAATTACAGTTGAGTTATTTTTTGTGGTGTGTTTGGTTTGTACCTATTAAAATATTACAGCCACTCAATACCATTCAGTGCATGTCAATATTGAGGTAGGAACGCAAGATGCAGTTTTAGAAGCTAACAACATAACAGTGCAAATTGGACACCAATTTTTGGATATATAGATTTAATCACACATCCAACCCTTTTCCAAAGTTGCTTTACCATTCATTCATTCATAAATAATGGCAAGTCCATTAGCCTCATTGTATTTTGAAATCAAAATCAAAATCTGGTCACATTGAGTCCAAAGGCTAAGCACATGCTACTCATTTTTGGGAGAGAATATACAATATACCCAGATCATAGAATCCCTACAGTGTGGAAATAGGCCCTTCGGCCCAACAAGTCCACACCGACCCCCAGAGCATCACTCATACCCATCCCCTGTAACCCACCTAATCTACACATCCCTGAACACTATGAGCAATTTAGCCTGCACGTCTTTGGACTGTGGGAGGAAACTGGAGCACCTGGAGGAAACCCACGCAGACACAGGAGAATGTGCAAACTCCACACAGCTAGTTGCCCAAGGGTGGAATCAAACCCGAGTTCCCGGCGCTGTGAGGCAGCAGGTTAACCACTGAGCCACCACGCCACATTTATGACACCCATTCATTGCCATAGCATCTGTTGCACCAAATCAGGGTACAATATATTACTGTACAGTGGCATATAAAAAGTGTGTATGCATAACGGTCAAAATTGTTTTGATTTTCATTATTAAGCTTCTTTTTAGTTTTAGTTTACGTGGTGTGTAACTCCCTGGAGAGGGTGAGATGGAGAAATTATAGGGCGAGTTGGTCCTGGAGAGAAGCTCACACCTTCCTTCCCACCTCACTAATTAAGGTCCTCATGACTGCTTGATCTGCCACTAATTAAGACCATTAACTAGTTAATTAATGGCCACTTAGGACCTCAATCTGCCACCTCCCTGGTCTTCAGGACCCAGAAGCTGGCAGCCTCTAATTCATTAGCAGCTTATGGCAAACCAGAGCAACTGTGTCAAGGCCTGTGATTTGCTGAGAAGCGAACGCTCTGATTACTGGCACGTGATGGGTCAAGATTTCACAGTTGCAATGGTGAGAATGCTTGATGCCACCTAACACTCTCACCACCACTTTGTCACCTGAAGACTTCTTTATCTGGATTCTGATACAGGAAATCTCATCCTTTTTTTCTGCAACCAAATTGCTGATTTAATTAAATGTGTGGATTTCCAAAAAAAAACCTAGAAAATTTTATTTTTAAAAAAACAATGAAAACATTTTCAGTGCTGAATGCACATTGTGAAGTGCTTTTATAAAAAAATGTTCACAACCATATGTTCCAAATGTTTGTTTTCAGTTTATTTTTCATTGCATTTTACTACAAATTAATCTTACATGGCTATTGTTTGTCTTGTTCTTACAAGTTATAAAGATTCAGCATTATATGAAGAATGTAAACAAGAATATCTAAAGGAGAGGGAAGAATTCCGTCAAACTGGCATTCCTGCAAAAAAAAGGCAGCAGAAAGTACCTACCAACATGTAGAAGGTGCCACTTGAAGAAACCAGAACTGACTGAGAGACCATACACCTGAAACCTGCTAATCATGAAGAGTCATTCATCATGTTTAAGCAATATAATTTACAATTGCTACATTATGTCAGATTGATTTTTGTAATTTTTATAAATTAGGAAATTGAACTACTGCTGTTTGTAATTCAGTACTTTTCAAATTTTATAGTGGAAATCTCGTAAATTTATTTTACATTGCTTCTTTCATGCAGGATTCCATAATTATAGACTAAGACACATATTTCAGTTGAATGTCCAATTATTTTGTAAAGTATATCTTGTGCTGATCAGAATGTAGCTTCTCAGTCTTTCTTCGCTGAATGCTTTCATTGCTTTGCAAGGTGTACAGGATGGCTGGTTCGACCCTCATAAAAAGGTCTCTGACATACTGATTGAAAGTCACAGGTTACAGCATCTGCTGAAGGAAAGACAGACTTGCTTTCTTCAGGAAGAAAGTTTTACTGTAGAGAACCGAGAGACGACCTGAGCTGGTGGAAATCCAGTTCACAGCCCCAAGTTGTTCAACCAATCCCATAGTTTTTGGTAGGCAAAAGGTACCAAAGTTTTGTCATTATTACCATGTAACTGCTGGTTACTTGAGTTACTCCTTCAGTTTTGAGATGGGAATTTTGCCACAATAAAAGCCAATTGCACAAACTGCCCTGATATCACTCAATGTTAGGACCCCATATGCTCAGCCATTGGACCTCTAGGCAGAATGTCCATGAATCCAGTAAATATTGCAACTTAGAGAAGTAGAGCATTGGATCAGAATGACTTTCTTTTCGATAATCTTGTTGTGCCTTTACGTCATTTTCTCAGTTTTGGTTAGGATTTGATTTTTATTTTGTGAGGGAGAAATTATTTGAATTTCTTTGTCAGTTTCAGTTTGATTGCGTTATAATTACTTTATCCACCAGGCATGGTTCCACACAGTCTCTTGAGTAAGTCAGTTTCAATGTTTTAGCTGCAGGCCTGGTGATATTTGACTATAGATATTGTGCCTGCCATTCTTCCCAAGAAACCTCCATGCAACAATAATGTGACTCTTTAAAGACCTCAACAATGGACAGCTCAGCTGGACAATGTTCAACAGCAGTCTGTTCAGCTTGATTGGTTTTGCTGGCAATTTCTACCAAATGATTTGAAAGCATCTCTCACCCACAGCATCAGTCCAGACTGACACCATCATGCTTGGTTCATTGCCAGCTACACCCACTAGGAGCAGTGCCAAGTAACAGGCAGAAGTAGTACAAGATCTGACTGTCAAAAGACTGGGCTTTTCTTTCACCAAGCTGGATATGAACATTAGTTACTCTGTTTGCAGAGAGTTGGCCTTGGCACTAATTCCCAATTCCTTCACAGCCATCCAGCACTGACAAACCCTGCAGAAAATCTTTCGTGATGACAGGAGATGGTCACTAGCCTTTCCTCCCTCCTGACCCCAGACAACAGTTTGTCATTTCATCCTCAAATCAATACTCCGTCTACTTTCACTTTACTTTGAGTGAGGGCGCCTGAAAATCCCTAAAAAGTACCTATTCTGCATATATCCAAAACACTTTCCTCTGCTTTAGTATGTACTAATACTATTTGCCTCACTTCACCTCTTGGTACAATTGTCACATGCAACTCACTAACTGCCTTATCCTCATGAGCATAAACTTCAACCTCTTTACCTGTGTTCTTAGGTACCTTCTGCCATCTATCGTTGCAGATCTCCTACTGTAATGGAAGTCTACAATAAGGCAACTATCAAAGGTGGTCTTGAGGTCAAACATAAGAACTAGGAGCAGGAGTAGGCCGCCTGGCCCTTCGAGCCTGCTCCGCCATTCAATAAGATCATGGCTGATCCTTTTGTGGACTCAGATCCACTTACCCTCGTTCTCACCGTATCCCTTAATTCCTTTATTGTTCAAAAAAAACTACCTTTTTTTTAAAAACATTTACTGAAGTAGCGTCAACTACTTCACTGGGCAAGGAATTCCATAGATTAACAACCCTCTGGGTGAAGAAATTCCTTCTCAGTTCAGTTCTAAATCTGCTCCCTCTAATCTTGAGGCTATGCCCTCTTGTCCTAGCTTCACCTGCCAGTGGAAACATCCTCTCTACTTCTATCTTATCTATTCCTTTCATAATTTTATATGTTTCTATAACAACTACCAGAGCATGAAATGGAAACAAACGGAGAAGCAAAATAATCAGGCCATAGAGCCAACACTTAGCAGCTACCCTGTTGACCTAATGATCAAAATCAAACACTCCAGTTTCCACCCATGACCGCCATCTTTGTTATTTGCTCCCCTCACCAGTCTGTGTTTGTGTGTGTATATGTCTGTGTGTGTCTTTGAGGGTGAGCAGGGCAGGGAGAGGTGATCGGGGGAGGAATAGTGGTGTACAAATGCCAGATGGCAATGGCTCAAGACCGTTGGCCGTAGTGCTGTGTCTTGTGACAGCAGTATATTACAACTTTGCCTATTCCATCTCAGAGTGCCCAGTCACTTTTTGGTGGGGATCAAGACAGGCTGCACAGGATACCCTGCAAAGTTGGAGCCAGCATCAGCTCCTACATGAGTCAGCTAGCATTCGGTAGGGCCTGCCTTAGCCCCTGACCCTTTTTGTACAATCTGAGCAGCCAGACATGCATTCCACACATATACGCAAAGTAGGGGAGGGGTTAAGAGGGCATACTTAGGCATTGGGGGAAGACCAAGTAAGAAAATGTAGAAAGTTGCATCATTGATAAATTTTAATTTTCTTTGAATAAAAGAAATGTTTTTGAAAGTTTTGCAAATTGTTCATGCATTGTTCCATGTGCCTGTGATAGTCTTTCCGGAAAAGAAACACTCATTTGTTGCGGGATTGGGGGATTTTATGGAACCAGCAAGAGCAGAATTTGCAGCCTATATGTTGACTGAACTAGGCAAAAGCTTTGATTTTTCCAACAGTGGGTTAACATGAAGACACAAAGTCACAGCATGGTTTCAGTATATCCGACTTTACACCAGCATGTGGTGGGCTTTTAACTGTAACACATTTACATGCCTTGAATACTTATTAATCTAAAACTTTTTAAAATCAAGTTCTAACCTCAAGAAAAAAAGGGCAGTACAAGAGAATCTTGTGCCACCTGGTTCACCTTCCTTTAAAAGTGGTGTACACCCATTGGCTTTGTGCAGTTATATCTAAGGTCTGCAAATTTCCTTATTGAATTCTACAGCATGAGGAAGGGGAGAACTGCAGTTTGCATGGAGGATTATAACTGGCAAGGGTGAGTCATTCATGGGGCTTGGGACGAGTGTGGGGTGGATTCAAGAGGAGTGAGGGTTTGGCATCCTGTGTATGATGGGATGGTAGTGGGGATAGTCAGTTCATGTAATGCAGTGCCAGCGCTGTCCAAATGCCTGAGCATCTCAGGTTGTTGGTTGATTCTTATAGGGCTTCAAGGTCATTTATAACAGTTCACTTATCCCACAGAGTGATCTGAGGCTAACAGCATTTACAATGCACAAAAGGCAAGGCCAGCTGAGACTGTAAGTTCAACTATGCCCCACAGAGTAGTAAGTACAACACTAAAATGAACATTTGCAACAAATTAAAAATAATCACAACCTAAAGAACTGTGGATGCTCGAAATCAGAAACAAAAAGTTCTGAGGAAGGGTCACTTGACCCGAAGCACTAACTCTGATTTCTCTCTACAGATGCTGCCAGACCTGCTAAGCTTTTCCAGCAATTTCTATTTTTGTTTCTGAAAAAAAAATCACAACATTACCTTTTCCACATTAGAGGAAATGTCCCTCACACTCCTGTTACCATCAATCCATGCCAACCATGAAGCAGGCTGGTACATCTAGCTCTCTGAATACCAACATATAATGATGATGCACGTGAATAAAGTCAAATCAAAGTAGCAATAAATATTTACCAGTAAAATTAAAATTTGAAAAACAACAGTGCCATTTTATGCTGCCAATAAATTTTATGTAGCATGGGAGCTGGATAAAGTTTGGCCACAATGCGTAGCCACTCTGCCTGACCAGAAGGCTTATGTAGTTATCTACTTGTGGCTGCCATATTGTCAGCAGATGGCAGATTTCATCACTGAAGAGTATCCCCATGGAATTAAATATAACTTCTATGCCCACCACTGGAACTGTCAATTTTAACTAATTCTGTAGGAAATGGAAAACACAAGAAAACAGAGGTAGTGGACACTTCCAGTTCCCTGATTGGGAATGGAGTGCACTGACAAAATTGCGTCCTTGGTGCGAATTCAGGGGATTCTCCACAATGATGTTTCATTGGATGAAGAAAACTTGATTCTTGCAGCATGCCCATCAGGAAAGGCATGCCTTGTCTGAAATCAATCTGAGGTAATGCTTAGGAGTAGGGAGAGTCTCAAGTTTCTTTCCTCTAAAAATTTAAAGGATAGTTTTTCAAATCAAGTTCAATCAAAATGGATCAACTATAAAGGTGGCATGTCCAGTTTGTGTAAAAGTTACAAATACACATTTGTCTACATATCTGGGAGAGAAGGGGGTGACTTAAAAGCCCAACTGTAATTCTGCAATCTATGGCAGCTGCATGGAGTGTTCCAGTCTGTTCTGAGTGATAAATTTACACTTAAATAACGCCTCCACGTGAAGTCTAAGCTTTCACACCAACACCCGTGATAACATTTCCAAAAGTATCCACAGGTGAAATTTGATATTTTTTTAAATGCATATTTTAGCTTAATGAATGTAACTCTAGGTTGAATCAGTGGCACAAATAAACTAAAAGTAGTGATTTATTTTGAAGTATTTGCATTTGTTCTGGTCATTAATTTGATGATTAATTGATTTGCAAGCTGCGTATTTCCCTTTCCCAAGTTATGCTTCTAACTTTAATATGTACAGCTATGCCACTGCATACTAAATGTGAGAAAGCATCAGTATGGCTTGCGCTGGCCTAGGCAGATTGCACATTAAAACTGTAAAAAGTCAGTTCTGCAAAACAATCTTTTAATATTCACCAGCTTTTTGCAAAATGTACTAGAGGTAAGCAATGACATGATAATGCTTCAAAATTTGCCCACAAATTTTACTTACAGCTTATAAACATGCTGAATTCCACATTTTTAATTGGATCTTGGCAGGAAAGGTTTCAATTCAGTCTATGTACTTTTGCTGATATGAGTCACTGCACCTCAGTGATCCACTGTGTGTGTTATTCACTGAGGCATTTCTGAAAGATGTGTTAAGGGATGTTATAAATGAAAGGCTGTTTTACGCGGAATTGTGAAAGACACGGCGAATTTTCCTTTTCAGGGTCTTTGTTGTAATCTGGTCTGGAGCATTACCTGTCTATATTACAAATGCCCAGTTTTCATAAAATACATTTCAATGACATGATAATCAGGCAACTGATCTACTCTTATGTCAAACTGCCATGTTTGACATGAGTCTACCATGTTGCCTCTTTGAATCATCTTCTTTAAAACATATGTCATTGGCAGCCTTGACTAAGAATAACTGTGTTTGGCTCCATTTGATATACTTCATCTTAATCAGTGACCTGTTGTGTTTTATCGAAATTAATGACATTCCCTCTGCTGTTTGTAACAGAATGGATAACTCCCCTTTAACTTATGAAGATTGGTGACTGCAGGCAGAATTAGACAGTGCGTTGGCAAACACTTTCAACACCTGGAGAACAAAGTTGCTAATTTTATTAAGGACTGGCCATAATTTTCCTTCTCTACTGCATAAAATAAATACATGCGATTATTCTACTTGTGCATTACATGATCTATGGTGAGGTATACAAACTTGTAAAAGTGATTGGAAAAGCATGTAATCCTCAAACAGCATGATGAATGTCAGCCATGATCCTGTTGAATGGTGGAGCAGGCACGAAGGGCTAAACACCTTACTCCTGTTCCTATTCTTTATGGTCTTGTGTGTATCATCAGGTGAAACTCTCAGCCTTAAAGGCAGAAGCTACATAGTTTGGCATCTCATAGTGAAGCATTCCCTACTCTGTAAGAAGTTATTTGCCCAGAAACCACTTTCCTGAGGCATCAGCCTTAGGGTAACTAGACTTACTGACATCTGCCTGGGCTCTTTGCTGATCTGATGATACCACCTATATCTTAAATCTTATTTTTAGGACAGAGACAACTCATTGACTGAAGTATCATCATCTGATTCTTCTTAAATAAAAGCTTAGTGAAATTAATTACAAAATTTCAATTTCTTCCCCCTCTAATTCAGAAGCTGTGTATTGGACTGAATATATTACTCACAGGCAGAATCTTTAATGAGAGCTAAAATTTTGATCAACTTAAAATCATTTATACGGTATGTAACCTGAATTGCATTTCATAAGGTTACATAGTACAGAAACAGGCCAACCAGTTGATGCCATCATTAATGCTGCAAGCGCCATCCCTCTCTCTCAGTATAATCCTCTGTTCCCTTCTTGCTCATGTTATCTAGCCCATCATAAATGCAGTTATATTAATCCCTTCAACCACTCCTTACAGTAGCAATTTCCATATTCTTACCACACACAGGATAAAGAATTCCCTTCAGAGTTCAATATTTGACTTAGTAATAATCTCATATTAGTGGCCCCTAGTTTATTCCTTTTCCCGACAAGTGGATGCATTCTTCACATGTCTACTCATTAAAACTTTAACTAACTGTGGACCTCTATTAGATCACCTCTCAAGAGGAAGTTTCTCTTTTTTTGTAGTATGGTGAGCAAATCGAATACTGTCCTCCAAGTGTGATCTGACCAAAGTTCAGGACAAATTTAGCTGGTTGTTTACTTCAGAATTCTATCAGTCCAGGAGAAGGCCCTAGTGTTTAGTTTTACTGATGATCATGTTAACCATTGTCACTACTTGTAGACAATTCTATACTCCGAGATCCCCTGTTGCACTGCTCCACTTAGATTTTTTAAAAATACTCAACCTCCTTAATTTTGTGCCACCATGTAATAACTGACTTTATCCATGTTGAAATGAATTTGCAGATTAAATGTCCATTCAAGCTTCTCAGTAGCCTTCTGTTGCAATTCTTCTCAGTACTATCTCCTCCCTTATCCCCTTTCCCCCGATTTGGTGTTTTCCACAAATCCAGTGATCAGGCATTGTGTTTTGGGATCCAATGCTCAATTAACTATATGGAGACGAGAAATGGCAAAGGTATCAAAGATCTGAAATTGTTTTGGGACAACAAATAGTGCAGACATCAAACTGTAAAATGGCAGAAGTCACTGCAGTGTGTATGGGGTAGGTCAGCAGGGGGTTGGTGGGCAGAAAATTATAGCATTTATTCTCATCTGTACTGAAATGGAAATGTTTCCATACTACTTCAAAAGGGTAATGTTGCTAAACTTCATGTGGGTAGACACCTTTATTATCATCAAGACCGTGGACGAATTTATTTCCATAACATTGCTGAAGTGACCTCAGCATTTCAACATTTCAACATTCAGTGCAGCTAGTACATGTAATAATGTGTGAAGTCTATATTAACAGAACATGACCTTGCTCAATTATGTGCATCATAGGAAGGGAAACTTCAATAACCAGGTAAGGTGTGCCATCTGAAAGTTGTTCATCACTTATGACAACAAGATGATTCAGTCTCAGTCATCCAAAATGACAAACACATGGAGTTCAGGATCAATCTTCCTTAGTTCCTTGTTAATTTCTCACAAATTTGAGTTGAAACATAATTCCCAATTTAAAAAAGAGATCAGGTTCATCTCAAACTTCAACTATCTGCAGCAAGGAA